AAGAAAGGTATTCGTGATAAAGTAGAAAGTGGATGACAGCGAGCAGCTCCCAGAGCCCAAGGGAGATCTCACCTCCCTTCTTCAGCACTGAAGCATGCTTTTTCTCCACCAAGAGCCCTGACAAGCTGCTACAGAGGAGCCAGGGTACCGGGGGCAGGACCATTTATGCTGGCAAACTTAGCCTCCCTGGACCTCATTTTCCTCCATGTAGTCATCTATCTTCCAAACTTTCCAGTAACCAGTTTCTAAGCATAGTTGGGAATGCATTATTTTTGCTTTTTTCTGAGATGACACATAGTCTCAGTGTTATCTTCAATTTTCTTTTGTACCACCAGCTAGATTGATTTATGTACATCAGTGATTATGTCCTGCAGCCTCTCAAAACATTCCCACACATACATCTGTCCCAAACTTTTCTTTGGCATCAAAAGGTAATCAGGCTCCAGAGGCACAACCATGTGGTGGCTGAATGCAGGCCCTAGAGTCAAACTGCTTGAGTTTCAATTCCATTTACTTGACTTAGGTAAGTTATTTTTCTTTGTTTCCTCATTTATAAAATGGGCAAAGAACTATACTTATCTCAGAAGGCTGCTGTGATAATTCAGGTATAGTGGTAAGTACAGTATATGGCCCATATTAAGTACTTACATTTGTTCCAAAAGCAAGTTTTTAAGGGCAGAAAGTAACACATCATCAAAGGCAAATTAGCATAGTAGTTAAGAGCAGGAGCCAAAATGCCTGGATGTGTATTAAGACTCTGCCACTTAACAGATGAGTGACTTTAGATGATGAGTTGCTTAATCTCTCTCTATACTTAAGTTTTCTCATCACTAAAGTGGAGATTATAACAGCAGCTACTTCAGTGTATTGTTGGGAGAGTTATATGAGCTAAAGTATGTAAACCATTTTAAATAGTGCCTAGCACAAAGTAAATGTTGACTAAATATTAGCTATGATCATCATCTGATTTTTCCACTAAGCAAAAAGTACTCTGAACCCAACTACACAGACTACAAGCTGCCGACTAAGAATCGTTCTTCTTTCTTAGTAATAAAGTCTTAATTTTTAGCTAAGTATACTACCATTAAAAAAAACTACTTCCCAGCCTCTTCTGCAGTTAGCTGCAGCTACGGAACTAAGACGTAAGCACAAGTGTTTGGTGGGACATCTGGCAAGGTTTCCTGGAAGGGGCTAACTACATTTGAAGCACCCTTTTACCATTCCTGCAAGATGATAAGCTCCAGCAGCCATTATGACCATACTGTGGCCTTAAGGAAATTACAGACTGTGGATGATGGAGCACTAAGAGAGAAGCGGCTGGGTCGCTCACGTCTTCATAACTGCCACATCAGCTCTACACTAAACTGTCTAACTCCGAATTTCCTGTAGTTGAGAGAATAAACTTTTGGGTCTTTAAGACACTTTTTTAGATGTTATTCACTTTGAAGCCAGCCCCTCACTGAAACTTCGTCACTCCTGCTGTACTTGAGCTGGGGGTTTCCTCAGTTATGACTGGTATTATTTCTCCCTAGAAATGTAGTCAATGTGTATTGTTCTATTTTTACAGGGTATTTTACAGCAATACTATTACATGAAAACTACTGTAACAGGCACTGGATGCAATTTCATTAATTCTCACAGACATCATGATGTCTATTTTAGAAATGCGGAAACTTACTTATTTTACACAGGATTAATGACAATATTATGCACAAGGGACAGCTTTAAAAATACATTTTGATGCTGAAAACATACTGTTTCAGATTCCTAAGACAAGTAATATGAAGAACTTTTATATATGCTGATATAACCTTAACTACCAGCAACAAATAAATTCTACTTTATGGTCATGCGTTGGCTCTGAGCAAAGACAGAGCTATACCTGACTCAACTTTTGCTTTCTTAGCACCGAAGTATCCAAGAGAAATAAGCAAAAGACTAAACAGATGAAATAGCTGTTTAACTATAGCAAACATAACTATTTCTATCAAAGTACCTATCTCACAGAGTTGTATGAGGTTAAACAGTACTACATATGAACCTATATGGACTTGGCATAAAGTTGTGTCTCTTTAAGTGCTAAATTCCTTGGGCCAGTCTATGTAGACAGAAAGAATTCAGTATATCAACTAATCAAACAGAGCAAATACTTTGTTCATAGTACTGTGTAACATTACTTTGCAAAATTAAAAAAAAGAAAAAAAGAGTTTGATTTAGTAGGAGAATTAAGACACATTCATGTAAAGATTAACCAATCCCAAGAAATATTTAAGTATCATTTGGTTATAGAGACAGTAGATTAGTAACTACAGAAACTCAAAAACCAGTAAGGGACTGAGTAGTCAGAGGAAGCTCAAGAGAAGAGGCAGAATCTCAGCCAATCTAAGCTAAGGACAAACAGGAGTTAGCACATGCTATACACAAAGCTGGTGCTTACTTACTGAAGGTACTGTTGCAGCAACTGGAATCATCAACACTGATACTGCCCGTACAAAGTATGTAACATACATCTGAAAACGAGACATCCCAATTTTTTGCAGAGCAAAAATCTGAAGGAGTATAATATATACGAACACGATGATTATTAAAGTGCATATTAAATTAGGCAAGCTTTAAAATACAAACTGATTTTTGACTGGCCTCCACTTACATTTTAATAAAAGCAAAAGTTAAAAATATAACACTGATAAAGTTATTTGGTTGACCATCTATCTTTTAAAAAACAATAATTATGCAGAATTCTTAAACGTAGCTTTAATTAATAGCAATAAAGAAGAGATTTAGCTATATTAAACAGAATCAGCATAAATTTACGAGTCAATGTTTTTTAATAATTATAAGACTGGAGTGATCACTTCATAAGTCATAGAAATAGCCAATCAATGTGTTGTACACCTGAAATTAATATAATATTGTTTGCCAACTGTAACTGAAAAATAAAATTAAAAAGATTGTAAGACTGAAAGTCCCTTCAAGATAGACACTAGGTATGCATCATTATCCTTGTTTTTTGGTACTTAAATACTTAAATTCAGTGCCTGGCATAAAGAAGAAACATATCTCAAAGGTCTGTGATCTGGTTACATGGATTAAGGAGAAGAACTAAGGCTAGGAAAAGCAGTTATTCTAGCTCAGAGCTATCACCATCAACTCAATCACATTTATATTTGATGTCAGAATAGCAACAACAAAAACCTAATGATTTAAATGGCAACACATCTCATTTAAAATCACTGACCTCTACTATTAATAAATTGATGACACCAACGGAGATAGGCAGAATCCAAGTGGAATCCAGTGAAGTGAGGTCAGGAAACCACAGGACCCCACCAGTAGCTAACTGCTCCTGAACAGAAAAACCTGCTGAAAGTTTTATAAATAAAATAGTTTCTAAAAACAGTAAAAGTAAATATACAAGATATAAGTAGTATGATATTCTAATAAGGTGACCCCTCACATTAGAGACTTGCATTAGTTTTATTCAGACTATTTTCATTCCACACCACAAATTAGTCCTTCCTGTACTGAGAAAGACACAAGCAGTTTTCTGCAGTAAACAGAAATAGAAGTATAAAGATTTGTAGCAGTAATCTTTTCAGACTTAAAATGTAAATAATTATGTAGCCATAGACTGCTTTCTTTTGAGTCTATTCAGATTTTCTGGTTAGAAATGTCTTTAAATGAAAGTAAAAACAAATGCTTTAGTTGATATCATTTAATTAATGCTTACATTTATAACTGTTCTCTTAATTTAATAAGCAGAAACAATTCTTGGGTAGGAAACCAAATTATGAAATTATAACACTAATTTTATTATGACCTCCAAGAAGCAGTATTACTGCTGTCCTTCCTAGATATTTCTCAAAAAGCTAGACCGCTAACACTTAATATTTTAAATTCTACATCTATACCCTTTATGAGGAAGATGGTTATTCTAATTATGAAAAGTATGGGTTTTTATTTTTGTTTTTTCTTTAGCATACAAAGACACTGTTGGAGAACTTATCTGGGGGAAACGGACTTCTACAACAACTACCTTCTGCATGTGCTGCTCCTGTGCTAAAATTCCGGAGAGCTACAGACATGAAGATCCACATTGGAAGCTGAATCCAGACCAACACTGTGGCTTTGAAAGGGTGGCAGTTATCCCGGACATACAACTCTGAAACAAGCCTCCGCATATTCTTTAGGTAAGTGAGCCTAGTTTGAGGGAAGGGGAAAAAAGGAAAGGAAAAAATGTCATTTGACTACTAACAGTGCTGCATACCTATAGCGCAAACAGTGGTTATTGGCTGAAGGGCTTGTGTAGGATATTTAGTTGTCATAGCTCTATTAAGGAGCTGTCTACACAAAAGGCAAAGTCTTTTACTGAAAATTCTCTAGCAATGTATATAAATTTCATAACAATTCAATAAACCTGACATTGTTAGACCATAGGCTTTGTCCATGGTGATCTTCGGCCAATTAGGCTTTAACAAGTGAAATTTCACTACTAACATGTTAGGAACACAATTTCTATCAGAAATACTACAGGTAAAAGCACATTTTACTCAAATCCCTCCACTCTTGCTAAACTCAACTATTTGATCCCTGAGTATATTTTGGGGGGCAATGTGGTTTTGTATGCTCTTGGCCTGTCAAAATGGTCTCCATTCTTCAATCATCTCTTTCATGAAGATTTTCTTAATCTGTTTCTCTATTAACCATATTAGTTATTCCTGTTTCGTCTTGAGTCTCACTTTCTAGACTATAGTCTCCAAGTAGGCCAAGTGCTGGGTCTTATTCATATCTAAATCTCTTGCAGCATGTTTTGTATAAGGTAGGCATTCAATAGGTTTGCTGAATTTAATCGATTATAGTGTACTGAATTAAGACAGTGTACAGACATTCGAAGATCTTTGTAATTTATCTTCTGCCTACTCCTCCAAGTTTATTTCATTATTCCTCTACAGATACTTGTACATTCTGGTGCCTGATTTAGGTCATCCAACACATCAAACTTCCACATCAGCATGCCTTTAGAAATTATTATATCATCTGTGCAGAGCCCATTATATTGGCTGTCCACATCACAAATTCCCTTTCACCTTTTTGAAAATGCAAGAAACCCCTCAGATGTGTTTTCCTAGAAAGCCACCCATCTGTGTAAGGATGTGACTAGACAATAATAATGCCGGATCTGCATGAGAGAGGTGCCACAGTCATATCTAAGCTTCATTTATAACCCAGGTGGAGTAGCTACTAATCTGGCTTTTTGGCCTGGAGCTGTTGTTCTGAGATTTCTCTGATTAGTAAAACTTCAAAACTATAGGTTTGCCAATTTTTTTATTTTATCAAGTAAAGACATTAAGCTATCACAATGACTTTTAAATGTCAGGTCTTTTAAAAATTAAATAAAGAGAGAAACGATTTCATATTGAAGACACTTGGCAAAGTTACACCTATACAGATAAAAAAAATATATGAATCACCATACATATATAACATATTCATACCACAAAGCCCTTATTTTTCTCATTGCTGTAAAATGGTGAACACTTTTCATAGTCTAGTAAGGATCAAAATTTTGGAAACTAAGTAGTATGTTAGGTTGATTGAAGCAGGACTTAGAAGATCCCAGTGTATGACTGCAGCATAGTGAAGCATCCCTGGGCAAGAACTTTCTAAGAAACCATGGAGATAACCACACAGGGTAACTGTAGTAGATGTACAGCACCCTGGCTATCCGGTTGCTTTTCTCATGGCATTCACATTTTCTACCTCTCCATTCCTGTGGGCTATTGCCTACTGTATCTTTTCGAAAAGGTCAAGTCTGTAAATAACCTGTATCATTTGTTGATCAAAATCCCAACAGACTGGCACAGTATCTTCATCCTGTTAGCGTTCCCTGACTTTCCATGACCCAACTCCTTGCATAAAATCTTTTTTCCAGTACTTAACTCAGTTATTACTTGATTATAGGTCGTTTTCAGTAGGTTGGAGTCCCTTAAGAACAAGAAACTTACCCTTCTCATCTTTGTTTCTCCATTTCTTTGCTTTCAGTCCAGTATATAAAACTATCATGCTACATAAGCTTATTAAAATATTAAAGAACTACTTTGCTGCTAAAGCTACAGAATAGCCAAACTATAATTAACATCATCACTAACAACATCACTTATGTTAATCTATAATTAACATCATATTGATGTGTATGTGTATTCATGGTCTTATATGCATAGAATTAACTTACCTGGCAACTCTTTTGGACCACCCCAACTGATTTGCACGAAGTGCAACTTCTTGGTTAAGATGCCTAGCAATGTTTTTTATTTCTGGCTGCAAATTTTCCACCTAGCTAAAGAAAAAGCAGAATTTGTTATGAGCACATAAAAGATCTTTATTCATAACCACTCAATTTTTTCTAATTCTCTCAACTCATTTAAAAATGTGGTTTTCTGATCATGTTAATAAACTTTAAGCACAAGATGTTAAGATATCCGCAATTACAACCAAATTCAAAGTTCTGACTGTATACTTAGCTATGTGACCTTGAGCAAGTTACTTGACCTCTAAAATCCTGTTCCCTCATATATAAAATGTCTCACAGCACCTAATCGCAGGGTAATTATAAGGATTAAATATTACACCTTGCAATTTTGTTTCATCCTTGGATTTCCCCGTAGCTTAAAGTGAAAAAAACAGAAGTCTATTGAGTGTTTAATATGCTCTGTGACAGCCACAGAGCCCCCCAATCTTTGCATTTATATCTGCCTTGTGTTAATTTTTTTCCGTAAAGTAGCTCACTGCCTTAATGATGCTGACTCCCTTTCATGTTTCTTTTCGTTTTTTTTTTTTAAACCCAATAATAATCTTAAGACATTAAAGCCATTATTTTTGAAATCTCACCATGAATACTACTTTGCTTCCAATACATTTTACTTGATCTCCTAACATTGTACGGCAGGAAGGTATTACTATCCTGATTCCACACAAAAAAAGATAACAAAGCTCTGAAGGTCAAGTGGCTAAGACGACCGGACTCAGGTTTGTAGATGGTACAAGGCTGAATAAGGAATCAAGTTCGCAAACTGCTAGTAGTTTTTTTCCTAATAAGATCAGCTGGAATACTTGGGGACGAAAAATGCATATTTACACGCTGTTACAATCTCTAAGATGGTAATTTTGAAGGTTCCACCAAACAACTTCAGCTACTGATTATTTCTCTCATTCTCTAACAAAAAGCTTAGTAACTTGTGCTTTGAGCACAAACCCAGTAGGGTAAACGAAATGACAGGTACACGTGTCACCAAATATTTCTTATTTCATACACTCAATGCTAGTTAAATTTCTTAGCAATTAAGTGGTCACGACGATTAACACTAAAAACTCCGGAAGTATGCAGGGATCCTCAGCCCACCACCTCCCACAGCGGAAGCGGATGCGCAGGGTTCACACGCGGCTCAGCGCCCCTCACCTTGGCCAGGATGTAGTGCTGGTAGGCCGCCAGGGGCAGCGTGACAGAGCCGCGCAGGGCCACGGTGGTGAGGAGGATGCTGCCCCACCAGGGCAGGCCCGTGGCGGTGTGCACCCCAAGCAGCATCTCCTCCGCACTCTGCACAGGCGCCGACGTGGCAAGGGCCTGGTACCAGCCGCCCCCGCCGCCCGGGCTAACGGCAGAGACTGAAGCCACCGCCCACACTGGCAGAGCGGAGCGCTTGGTGCAGCCAGTCGGGGCCGACACACGCTGCGGGACCCGGGTCCCAACCTGCAGGACGGGTGGCGGCCGCAGCCACCTACCGCCAAGCCGGCACAGCATAACTGCGCCAGGGCTGAGCCTAAAACGTGGAGAGCACAGACTAGCTGCAGGTACTCCGTCGAAGCCGCCGCGCGCATGCGTCCGCGTGGAAGAGCACCCTCCCGCACACACTGTTGACCTTCCCAGTCAAGCCAGTGACGTTTGCGTCGCACTGGAGATGACGTAGGAGGTAGGGAAGTCCCGCCTTTCCCACGCGGCACTGGGCAGGCTTACTGCGCACGCAAGAACACAAAACTTTCCCCGGGCTGACATGGAGCTCCTCAGAGGCCAGAACAGAATTGCAGAGGCAGGGGCGGGGCCTGTTCCCTTGTAAAGTCAGTGTCCACCTTGTGCCTTTACATTCTTTCTCACGTAAACTAATCGTCTCATTTGTAGTAGGTTAAGCTTGGTGACTATAGGGTAGTTTCCTCCCTCTTTATGTGCTTCCGATTGCTTCCTCTAGAGATCGAAATAGATTATACTGCTAGAGTCAAAACATTGCTGACATGCCAGATTGGAGAGAGGCATTTGTTTCAGACCGACCCCGAGTTTTAATCAGCATCCCTTATGCACTAGTTATAGTTCGTTCTGTGGAATAAACACATAATTGGCTCATCTGTTCCAGTTAGCATTTTCAAACTCACCTAGTTTCCTTAAAAAAAATTTTTTATCATTCGTTAAACATAGCAGCAAAACTCTTGTATGAAAAATTACCATAAGGAGAATTATCACTGGCAGCACGGTGAACTCTATACTAGAGTTTACACGTATCCTATGTAAGCTTTTGAGTCTGAACAGCAACATTAGGTATCTTCTGGTTCAAAGGAATATAACAAAGCCTACATGGACTAGTTTTTAGTTTTGTTCCTGGCAAAATGGAATGACATGGAGTTTCCTCACAGACAAGGGTGAACCCTAAACCTAGAGGCCAAACTGGGTTGGGCGGAATAAAATGATTAGAACAAAAAAGTCAACAAACATTGGAGTGATGTCAAACCGCAGCATCTGTTCTTGCTTCACTGCGCACCCACCGAAGGGTACCAGATACTCTTCTCTCTGCATTCTGTAAGTCACCTTCCTTCAAATTGACTTATAAATTAATACGTGAATTTTTAAAAGTGTTTAAACACATCTCAATACATGCCATGTATAGATTCTTTTTAAAAGAAAAAGGTTACCTATTTATCTCTGTCCATTCTCTAAAAAGAAGCAACTGGTTGCTATTTAGTGGAAACGAATTTTAAATGGAAATATTTTTGCCTAAAGATTGTGGAAGCACTTCTGCATTCCTCTTCTTCCAGAGAATTGATGACAATGGGAGTTGGCCTTTCACAGTGGCACTTAAGCCTAGGTACTCTGACCTGTTAATATCCAAGAAAGGGAATTAAAAAAAATCCTAAAATGAAAAATCCATATTTATGCATTCACTGTTCATATACTCTAAATTGGTTTTCATGCTATTGCTCAGATCCATGCCTTCCTTCTGTGGAGCTGTATCAGGGGTCAGGACTGGTCCTCTTCAACCAGGGTAGGTCCACCTTTTGTGCTACTCATTGGGGTCACATTATACTCTCATTTTGAAGTGTTCCGTTGTTTATGTTTGAATATTGTGATCAAAATAAAATTTATGAATATTTCATGTATTTAAACAGACATTTAACTCATCATGGAGATGATCAGAACTTGCTACTTCATAGAAGATGTTGGGGGAAATTTTTATCAATTATAAAGCCCAATACTAAAGTATTAGCATTAACATGTATGTACTGATCATCCAACATTGTGATACCTTGGATCTTTTGAGTTGCAAAATACAGTATAAAATGACCAAATACTGAGCAAACCATCTGAAATCATGTCAATCCTAACACTTTGCAAATGAGCTTGTGCAACAATTTAAACATCCCTTTTAAGTTCAATATTTATAATTAGCCTATACCTGTCTTTAATATGTCACACAACTAATGTTTAAACTTTAAGCTCCTTAAAAAGAAACTATGTAGTTAATTGTTTCTGAAATTCTTATCACAGTGCTGAACATGAAAATGGAGCTCAAAATTTGAATATAAACTATTATACATATAAACCATATGTACATTTAAATTTCTCATTTCCCAAATATGCCTTCTGAAATTTTTGACAAAGTTTTAAAAGAAAAGTTATTTTCATAAGCATTTGGTCAAGTGATCTCTTAGAATCAGATTTAGGTTTATTTTCTCTTATAATTCTACCTAATATAGTTAGCTTTTTTATTTAAAAGCATTTTCTTGTATCATCTTTCCTATCATTAGTTCTCAAGTACTGAGCATCAGAATTGGCTATTACCTTTCAAAAGTGTGAATTCATTTAAAGGCAGTAGTATGAAACCTCTTACATCTATTAATCCTGTATTCCACTGTCACATTATAAAGGAATTTTTATGTCAAAGCTACAGTTGCACATTTTTCTCTGTATTCACATACCCAAAATACAAGTGATGGTATAGGTGCAATCAAAGAGTGTAAACATAGGTTACAAATAGAACTAATGATGCTCTCATCCTAAATTCCAGTCACCTGGAATTAACACGTTAATTCTACCAACCAGCTCCTTGAGTGCTGTGAATTGTTTAAGCGTTTATTCAGGTTGTGTATTTCCAAAGAAATTCAGGAGCACCCAGAATTTACAAAATATAAGTATACCAAGCATTAATCTTAAAAAACGTCTAGACAATCATTTATCTAAAGTAAAAATACACTGAATGGAATACTGTGTATTATAGTGACTTAAAAAAGTGAATTGGTTTTCCTTTGATATTTTAATTTCAAAGTAATCCTGATTTTAAAGTTTGTTATTTAAAAGAAAGTTTTGGCATGATTAAAATGTTCTGTAATGCCAAATCTACAGAAATGTTTCAGAAAAACATCAAAATGAAAATGGACTGAATAAATCAGAGGATCGAAAGAGGTTTTGTAATCTTGAATTTCCCCATTTAACACTTTGTATTGTTTCAAAAATAAAGTGAATAATACAGTATGCAAAATAATTTTTATGTAATGTGTATTTAGGTCACGAGTCAAAAGAAAGATGGAATAATGTTTTCATAAAAAATAAGACAGGACCAGGTAAACTACTTAACTATTTACCCCCTCCCCCTTTTTTTCCTGAGGAAAAAAATGACTAAGTAATTTTCCAATAAATTAATTTTCAATTACTAATGACTTTACAGTAATGAGAAACAGGGAAAAATGTCTTTCATATCAATACTAAAATCAATTTTTGTGAATATGCTGATATATGTTGAAATAAATATTAGAAAGGCATGGTAAAAAATATTTTTAAAAGGGAATAGTTGGTGTAAATAGATTACATAATAATTAGGATATTAACTATTTGAGGATTTAAAGTGTGAACTAACCCAAGTGTTATTTCCAAGAATTAAGTCATTTCTTAAAAGAAGTAAAGAAATACATCATGTAGTCTGCAATTACATATACCACATACTTTCAAAAGGGGAGCGGGGAGACCTGCATGGTCTCAAAAGATATGTTTTCTTATTCTTCAAATAAAAATCCACTGTATTAACATCTGATATATAAAACATGTATTTGAAAACTGTTCCTAGTACAGATTTCTAAAACCATGGTTTTGTATTTTAATAAACCCAAACCCCAAAACTAAATATGAAGCATTCCAATCTATATCCCCCGCCCCATAGTTTTAAAGTTAAGAAAATATAGGTTTTTTTTCTTTCTTTTTTTAGTAAGAGACCCCATCTTAAGAAATTCAATTTTGTGGCTCAATACAACTCACATATTGTGATAAATTTTGGGTGGTATCCGCTACCTAGCAGGATTATTTTAATTGGAAAATAACCTTAGTTAACACAGGGAAGAAATTAAGCAAAAAATTATAAGATGGTGGCAAAAGTCATGTATAAAATACTTCTAAATAGCATCACACCCCTTTCTTAGTAAAGTGCTCTAATTTTATTTGATAGCTATAGTTATTTGTAGGATCTCAGTTTTTCCTTTAAATTTGGTTATCGATCATAAGTAGAAAAACAAATTTATATATTTTAAGACCACTTCCTAAATTAAATAATAAATATGTTGTTTACAAATTTCAAGAACTGTTTGAGAAATCTATATACTTTTTTACTCTATTCAGGCTATCAGAGTAAAAAAAAATCATTTCATTTACTTGAACAGCCAAAGAACCATATTAATATTGTCAACACTAGGTAATTTATCTGTATTTTGGTTTATGTTTCACCACTGTGGAATTTATGTCTAATTTAAAAAAAAAAAAATTGATATGTACATCACTTATACTTACTTTTACATTTCAACCATATAATTTATTTTTCCATATGAGACAGCGTAGGACACATTCTTCTTGGATATGTTATTGTTTATTGTTTCAAGTGAACGGAATAGATAAATCCCATTGAATAGTTTAGTGTGGCCCTGTATCTTATATAAACAGGTTAAATGGAAACTTTATTTTGTAATCTGTGTATTCATATCTACCATAAATTGTCTTCATGACAAATGCAAAACATCTTTTATTACTTGCTCCAAGTTAGCTGTTGATCCTTTTCACTGATAATATACAAGTGTAGAGAACAAGAAGCCTTTAAAATTGGGGGAAAAAATACTTTCCACTAAATTACTGAACACTGGAATTTTTATGTTGATTCTTGATGACTGGAGAGCCAGTGTTAAGAATCAATATTATCCAATATAAAATAGTACACTGAATTGTTTAATAATAAACAGTATATTAAGAGCTTGTATATGCTGACTGGGAACCAGTGGTAGCTTTTTAAATTCTCCAAAAGGCTAAACATTTTATGGTTAGAAGAAACCACAGGTGGTGATAAAGGTGCTCCATGTCTCTGTAGCAGCCATTACAGTAAAAATCTTTACAAATTATTTCACGATCAGCAAGAGAATTTTACTGGTATTAGTGGTAAGGTGAGAAGAAGAAAGAGTGAAGAGAAAGTGTCTATTAGTTTGAAAAGTGTGACAAGGTAATAAAAAGACATGGAAAGTGATAAATTTCTTCTTCTAAACATGCCTTGCTGCAAACAAAAGAGAGTAATATGGTCTTTAAAAAGCCAATGTTGGGAAACATCCACTGATAATGCCCATTGTTTTACTTTATACTTAAATTACACAAGCAGAAAAGTTATGCTTATTAATAGTTTAATGTATGAAGGAAACATCCAGATTTCTGAATATGAAGGTACATATCTCACATTAATTTAAGTCTACATAAAGTAGAGCCTCTATACTGACATATTGAAATTTACTTTCTGCTTTAGCCTTTTCTGTTATGTAAACAATTGTACATTTATTTGCCATTCTAAAACTTCAAGATCAAGTTTACATAATTTTGCTAAATTTCCGTGTTTGCTCAGAAGCAGTTTACAGTACTAAAACCAACCAGCCAAAGAACAGCTTCAACAGAAAGTTAGGTCCAAAGGGGAAGAGGGAAAGAAAAAAAGAAAAATGATAAGAAAAATGCTAACTAAGAAAAAACAGATGATGATGGGGAATGGGCAGTCACAAATGTTCACAGAAAATAGGTCAGTTAGTAAGTTCTTCTGCAAAAAGCCTACACACTTCAGTCAAGCACATCAGTAGAATGATTTGGGAGCATAAATTTTTTTTCGGCCACTTGTGATTTCCTCTGAATGAAAAGGAATCTGCAGGCTAACAAGCTGATCCTCATCAGCCAAGCTGGTTCATATGCACACTGTTCATATGAGGTGCCCAAGGTCCAGTCCACACCTATCAATATAGAACATGCATTTTATTAAATATGTATTTAAAACATATTTGATTAAAACAAAACTCTTAAAAACTTAGGTAGTACTCTTAATATCTATGGACTAAACTAGCTAAATCTCACTTAATTTGCAGTATACTTGGAAACAATGAAGAAAAGCAATGATAAATCACTTTTGTCTGTTGTTTCCTTGCTTCTCATTCCTCAAGATCTGTTGTCATTTTTTTTAAACCATTACTTGAGTACATAAAGACTGTGGAAGGAAAAGGAGTCAAATCTGTTAAATACACACCAAAATAAGCTAAAATATAAAAATATGTCTGTGAACTAATTATACACTGTTTTGACATTCATGATACTTTTAGTAAATAACCTCTAGATGGCCCTTTTCACAATACTAGTAAATTCTGATGTATAAAAAATTACAGTCCAACGCTTTCCAACTTAAAATCTTTTTACTTATCTTCTGTTGCCCAATGAATATACACTGCTTTTGGTACCATTCTCTACATCCCTTTGCTATATTTCAGCTATATTAAATTTTTCTCAATTTCCTCAACTGCCCAATTCACCAAACTCTTCTACTACCATGATTTATCTGTATCCTATTTGCTTGGTATCTCATAAACACTAAATAAATGTTCAATGAATGATCAGCCTTACCGTTTGAGGGCCATTATTTTCTGTGGAGCTTGAAACCATCTTTATTAAGGAGTTCCAAGAGGGGTCTGCAGCATGAGGGCCATTAAATATGGGTCCTCCAGCACCATCCGGAATAGGTGCTACTGGAGGAATCATTGCATTCCCATACACAGAAAAAGGCATACCCTTAAAAAAGGAGAAAACAAAGATTATGCACACTCAAGTCACTGCTTACTTTCCCCAATATAATCAATAACCTTAAAATTGATATTTAAAACTTCACCTCATTTTGGAAAAGTATTATCTGGGCAATATAAACATTTTTTCCATTTATGACAACTTCTTGCATTAGATTATACATAAGCCTACTATATCCAAAATATACTATATCAAGAAACATTTCTGTAAATAACTGAGACAAAATCAGGACTTATATTTATATTTTAGCCAGATTTTGACCTATAATTGTAGACCAAAGCCCCAGCATCATTTCACAAATGCTTATCCACTTGAAAGTGAAATAAAGCTAATAAAAACATTTAGAAATAATGAAAATATTATTTAAATCACCGTTACCCCAACTTTAGGAAAGTCCATGTATCCTGCAGGAACATGCTGATGGAATGTACCAGAAGGAGTTACAATTCCTGTACTCTCTCGCTCCATTGCTTGATGCTGTGAAAACACTCCTGGATCAGACATTGG